GGTGCACTTTGATGCTGCGAAGAGGGTACTGCGTTACTTGTGCAGCACATCGGGCATGGGGCTCGTGCTTGGAGGACGGGGTTCGGTGGTCCTCACAGGACACTCTGACGCTTCTTGGGCCGACGACCAGACGACTCAGCGTTCGTCACAGGGTTACACCTTCAGTCTTGGCGCTGGTTCTATCTCGTGGAGGTCCACTCGTTCTTCTTCTGTGCTTGGTTCCAGCTGTGAGGCCGAGATCTACGCTGGGGCCATGGCTGCACAGGAGCTACGCTGGCTGACCTACCTGCTGACCGACTTGGGGGAGCGGCCTCGTTCTCCTCCAGTTCTGTACGTCAACAACAAGGCAATGCTTTCCTTGTGTCGCGAGCAGAGACTGGAGCACAGAAAGAAGCACATTGCTCTTCGCTACTTCCTTGCGCGTGAGCTGCAGCAGCATGGTCAGCTGCGCCTTGCTTACGTGGCCTCTCGGGCCAACACTGCTGATGTCTTCACCAAGGCCCTTGGGGCTGGTGATCATCACCGTTTCTGCACTGCTCTTGGGCTTGTGCCGACTCTGCCTCACCTGTTGGTTGCTTGACTTGCTCTTGTTGTACACTGCTATATATCTTTATGCCTGCATGTTTTCTCTTGCTAGGTTGTGATCAGTGTACTGCCTTGCTATTATATACCTCTGCATGTGAACTGGCCTTGTGGCCACTTGCTTGTGCTCAGAATGCGTGGTGACTTTGTGATCCACCCTGAGCTGTGTTCTCTTCTGCAGACTGGTCTTGTGACCGCTTGTTGTGTTTGCTGTCCCCTACTTTGCCTATGGGGGTGTGTCAGATTACAATTGTATCTCTAGGCTACAGTAGGGTCACTCCTTAGTGAGTACAACACTTTAGGGTTAGGTTTCCCCTACTTGTACTCACCTCTTGCCTTGTCCAATCCATCATTCCTAGTTGTATTCTTGACACATGGCAGCAGGTCGCCTGGAGAGCGGTTGCTTGTAGCTGGGATATGCACAGAAACAGCGGTGGCTGACCGGCAGCACCTGTAAACGCCAGAACGGAGCAGGAGCAGGAGAGTTAAAACGGAGGGCGAAGGATGCTGGTCGCTCGCCGTCTGCAAGCAAACACAACTGTTGGTGAGGAGGAGGAAGCTGGTGGTGGTGCACAGGAGGAGAACAGAGGAGAGGCGGCTGGAGGAGAGGAGATAGGAGGAGGAGAAGAGGCTGGAGGAGAGATAGGAGGAGGAGAGCTGAGGAGAGGCGATTGGAGGAGAGGAGTTAGGAGGAGGAAAGGTGGCTGGAGGAGAGGAGAGAGGAGGAAATGAGAGGAGAGGCAGCTCGAGAGATCGAAGAGGAGGAGGCGGCTGTATGGTCACCCCCTCCACTCCCTCACACCCCCCGCCCCACCCACGGCAGCAGGGGCGGCAAGGGGAGAGAGGAGGAGGAAGGAAGGCGCTGGTGCTGCGAACTTACTCACGCCACCCCCTCACCTTCTCCCCCCGTCCCCGCTGTCAAAGTATATGCATGTTATATATGTGTAGGCTATAGTGGGGTAGCCAATATGGGGTACAGCCCCTTTTAGGGTTTCATACTTGTCCCCAACTCTTTCATAGTTCATCCATTCCTGCTGCTTGATTCTGACATGGTATCAGAGCTAGTGGGTTGCCTCATGTACCTGATGACCTGCACTCGTCCTGACCTTGCGTACCCTCTTGGCCTTCTGGCTCGCTACGTGGCTCCTGGTCGGCACCGAAAGGTGCACATGGATGCTGCTAAGAGGGTACTACGCTACTTGTGCAGTACATCGGGCATGGGGCTCGTGCTTGGAGGGCGGAGCCCAGTTGTCCTCACTGGGCACTCAGACGCTTCTTGGGTTGACGACCAGGCTACGCAGCGGTCGTCACAGGGTTACACCTTCAGCCTTGGCTCTGGTTCGGTTTCTTGGCGTTCTACACGCTCGTCTTCAGTTCTCAGCTCCAGTTGTGAGGCTGAGATCTACGCCACAGCCATGGCTGCACAGGAGTTACGCTGGCTCACCTACCTGCTGACCGACTTGGGAGAGCGGCCTCGTTCTCCTCCAGTGCTGTACGTCGACAACAAGGCTGCCATTGCCTTGTGTCAGGAGCACAGACTGGAGCACAGAACGAAGCACATCGCTCTGCGTTACTTCCTGGCTCGAGAGTTGCAGCAGCGTGGTCAGCTTCGTCTTGCTCACGTGGCCACTCGGGCCAACACTGCTGATATATTCACCAAGGCGCTTCCGTCTGGTGATCATCAGCGTTTCTGCACTCTGTTAGGCCTTGTGCCTACGTTTCCTCACTTGCTGTAGACTTTGCCTGTACTGTGATCTATATATATACCTGCATGCTTGCTCTGCTAGGTAGAGATCATTGTGCTGTTGTTGTTGCATATATACCTCTGCATGTGAACTGGCCTTGTGGCCCTCTGCTTGTGCTCAGTGTGTGTGGTGACGTTGTGATCCACCCTGAGCTTGCTTTGCTTCTCTTGACTGGTCTTGTGACCCCTTGCTCTCCCCCACTTTGCCTATGGGGGTGTGTCAAAGTATATGCATGTTATATATGTGTAGGCTGTAGTGGGGTAGCCAATATGGGGTACAACCCCTTTTAGGGTTTCATACTTGTACCCAACTCTTTCATAGTTCATCCATTCCTGCTGCTTGATTCTGACACCCGCCACCTCCCTCCCCACAGCAGCAGCGGCGGGAGAGGCGTAGCAGGGCGCGGGTGATGCTGCTGAAAGATTAGGGCGGCCAAATCCCCACGCCACCTCCCACGCGGGTCTGTTTTGGCGTGCGCGCTAGCTTGCTGCGCTGGCGTGCGCGCTGACGTGCGCTTTGGCGTGCGCGCTTGTGGGGTGCGCTGGCGTGCGCGCTGGCGGGCTGCGATGGCGTGCGCGTTGGCGTGCGCGCTTGCAGGGTGCGCTGGCGTGTGCGCTGGCGGGCTGCGCTGGCATGCGCGTTGGCGTGCGCGCTGGCGGGCTGCGCTGGCGTGCGCGCTGGCGCTGGTCGCTGGCGAACGCGCTGGCGCTGACCACTGGTGCTCCCGCTGACGCTGGTCGCTGGCGCTCGCCACGGCTCGCTGGTTTGTTCGCCACGGGCAGAACGTGACGAGAGGAACCGCGGGGCGCAAAATAACGGACGCGACTGGTGGGCCCATGAGAACGGTCCTAATCGGGACCTGCTCCGATAGCATGTTGAGATAAGGAGACTACTAGACTAGGAGGTTAGGAGGCTTGAGCATAGCGAGATGGATATCGAGAGGGTTTAGGCAAGGAGGAACGAGATTGGCCAAAGAGGTTTTCAGTATAGAGTTGGGAGTACAAATAGGCAAGAGCAAAGGGATAGGGTACACCACCAACAGTTGATTCTAATAACTAACTAATACACTAGCAAGCTGTAGGCAGTTATACAGGATATGCAAATATACAATTCAACATTTCCCTCCAATGCTGGCATCGTGGTGCTGGTGTGGTGTGCTAAGCAAACCATACTCGATGCTATCATAATTCCCCATACTAGCAAAGAAAATCAGTGTTTATGTGACTAAGAAGACTGATTTATCAGTGTAATTTTTTTGTGAACACTTAAAATTCAGTGTTTTTTAGATGATGACACTGAAAATCAGTGTTAGGGCGTATTCCTACGGCCTCATATCAGGAAACCTCGTATCAAGAATGTACCTTTTGCCTGGTAAAACTAGCGAGAGGTTTTGGGTTTAGGGGATTTTTCAGTGTGAGCCTGATACGAGGTTGTCTTGATACGAGGATAGGAACACGCTCTTAGTACTCAAGGAACACTGAGTGATCAGGGTGCCCCAAAACCAATCTGAGGCCCTGGTCCAACCCAATGTTGGATACTAGGTACTAAAGCTCGTGCTATGTACATATTTTGTAGCATGAGACATGTTTGTTGATATGACTTCCTGGTACATGTCCTCAACGACCAGCATTCTTTGGTAAACATAGGTGCACTCGATGAAAACAATCTAAGCGCATGGAACAGTTGAATGAAGCATAAGGGGATATATTTGTTTGTTTCGTTCTGTACATTTCGTTTTAACTGAGTCGACATAATAGGGGGTTGTGCAAGGTGACGTGACGACACTCCCTCAGGGAACAGGTGTGTTACCTCACCAATTCTCGTGTCGCCGTGATGATGAGGTACGTCGCTGTCTGGCATCATTTGCCTGTGCTTGCTCTTTTCGACCAAGACCCTGACGGAAGTTCCGAGGACAGGGAACTGGTGGATTCCTCTCGTTCTCGCTATAGCGCCTCGCGTTTGAGAAACGCATTGGTTAGTTTCACCGACGATGGCGAACGCAGATTCCAGGGCTGTCACTATCGCACTGCGCTCTCCGCGTTGCCACCGCTCGGCAATCCCAAGGCAGTGCTGGCACTGCTCGCGTCGTCACCCTCTGAACGTCGCTCTTGTCGTACTAGGACCTCCAGTCCCACGCATTCTTGAAGTGACGCAAAGTCATCACCACCCTCGGGGTCAAGCCTTGGACTGCTCTCACAGTCGACGAGTCAAAAGAATTATCTCACGGGTGACTCTTTACGTGACGCTATGTCACCATCGTTCGGAATTTTGAAGTTGACGCGTAGAGGGAGTGGGCTCACAGGTAGTCAAGGGTGTGACCGCTCAGAGTGACTGCTCAAATGATGTACCCAGGCGGACAATCTAGTCGACTCAACAGTCACACGAGTCGACTCAGAAGTTGACGCGTAAAAGGGGTGGGCTCACAGGCGATGTGATGTACAAGGAGTGGCCCATAGTTGACTCGGTTGTCGGTCTTTCGAAGTCCGTGACTGCTCTCACTGATGCACTCATTCAAGAGTCGCGTGCACAGGCGACTCAAGAGTCTCGTCGAGAATTGAAACGCTTATCCTATCATCATCGTCTCTCACCAATAATGTAAGCGTTCCTTAAGTAACCGCTTAGTGCAAAACGACAAGCCAACTCTCCTTTCCATCGATGCCCGTGGAGTCCGGCATGGCGCGCCGAGCTTCTAGCAGCTCACTGCCGTCACCGTCGCCGCCGCCGCTAGCTCGCGCGCAGCTGGAAGTTATTTTCGGCGCGTTGGCCGTGGGGAGCGCCGGTGTCGCGTGGTGGCAGCTGATCGGCTCGACTCGTTCCCGCTCCGCGCTCAGATCCGCGCGCGAACCGACCATCCTTCAACTCAGTCGCGCGAAGCCGCCTGCTGACGCCACCAGATGCAGCAGCGGAAGCGGCAACAACAGCGGCGGCGGCAGCGGCGCGAGCTCGCGCGAGTTGGTGGCTGTGAGAGGGTTCGTGCAGGCAGGAGGTCAGGCAGGCGGCCTTGGGTGGAAGCCTCCCCCGCCGCTGCTGCCAGACAACGGGGTGAAGCAGCCATGTGCCATCGTGGAGAGAACAGAGACGGTGAGTGTGGGAGATGGTGAGTGTGGGAGGCGGTGAATGTGGGAGACGGTGGGACGGTGAGTGTGGGAGACGGTGAGTGTGGGAGACGGTGAGTGTGGGAGACGGTGAGTGTGGGAGACGGTTAGTGTGGGAGTGTGGGAGACGGTGAGTGTGGGAGTGTGGGAGACGGTGAGTGTGGGAGAGAGAAGAGGCGATGACAAGGCGTCGGCGTTATGCATTGTGAAGCAGTCGTGTGCCATCGTGGAGAGGACAGAGACGGTGAGTGGGAAGAGCGAGAGAAAAGGGAAAGAACGAAGGGCGAAGTAGTAGGTTTGAGTGAAGAAAAGCACCCTAGTTCCTCTCTTCATCTACCGTTATCTAGCTTCCATTCTCTTGGCCTCCCTCCCTCCTCTTCCCTTACCTCATGGTCACTAGTCACCTCTATTTCGCTCTGTGTTATTATTTTTCCCTCCCCACTCCCAACGTGCCATCCTTTCCACTCAGCTCTCTCACCTCTTTCTCCTCTCTGCTCCCTTGTCTTCCTTCCGTGCCTCCCTTTCGAGACGTCCTAAAAGTATTTCCTGCCTCTTTTCTTGAGACTTCCTAAAAGTCTTCCCTGCCTCCCTTCTTGAGACGTCTCAAAGAATCTTTTGGACGTTTCCCTCTTCCCTGCCTCCGTCCACTGCCTCCCTTTCCTGGACCCCCATTGTCATGTGTCTCCTCGTCCCGACCCAGATCCTACAGCCATACATGCATCTGCCGTATGGCTGGGTGACCACCACACCAACTCCCAACCTTACCACCCCCTTCCCCCCCCACCCCCCCACCCCCCTCATGTCATTTGTCTTCCTTCCTCCTCCTCATGTATGCCCCAGATCCTTCAAACGGAAATGCATCTGCCTTATGGCTGGGTGACCACCACACCAACGCACACCATTCGCTCCCAAAAATCTGTGAGTTTTGAAATGTTCGGAATGCGGAAAAGAATTTGCCCATTTTCATTCGCATTTAGAGGAAAAACGAACTGCTGGGTTGACACTTACTGTGCTTCTAGATTACTCTGCTCCCACCCCGCCCCTTCCTTCACTTTCTTTCACTTTCTTCCCCTCCCCTCCCTTGCCTCTCCACAGGTCCCGTTCTCTCTAGCAGACACCACCCACCCATCAGCACCACGTGTCGACATCTCATTGGTGGGTGCCACACAGCCCCTGCCTCTGCACACAGTGTACAGTTACACACACAAGCCCAGATCCGCGCGTGTGACTGTACACTGTGTGCAGAGGCAAGGGCTGTGTGGCGCCCACCAATGAGGTGTCGACACGTGGCGCTGATGGGTGGGTGGTGTCTGATAGAGAGAAAGGGACCTGAGGAGATGGAATGGAGAGGAAGAGAAGAAAGTGAGAGAAAACGGAGTGGCAGATTGAATGCATGGTGTTTCAGAAATCCCGTGGATTTTGAAATGTTCAGAATGTGGAATGGAGTTTTTCCGTTCACATTCGCATTGAGAGGGAAAACATTCGGTTAGCTTGTTAACTTTTTGTGCTCCTATGTTTCTCTGCTCCCACCCCGCCCCTCCATTCAATCCGCCACTCTGTTTTCTCTCACTTTCTTCTCATCCCCTCCCTTGCATCTCCACAGGTCCCCTTCTCACTAGCAGACAGTACCCATCCATTAGCGTCACGTGTCGACATCTCATTGGTGGGCGCCACACAGCCCCTGCCGCTGCACACCGTGTACAATCACATGCACAAGCCCAGCCCCTCTTTGGGCGACGCTGCCCTGCACGTGCTTATAGGGAAACGCCTGCCGGTGAGTATCCAATTTTTAGCCATGCATTATAAAGAAGCGCATTCTGGGGGCTTATTGTTTTGACCTTTGGGTTGAGCAAAGTCACCTTGGCTTGGTGGGCACAGGGCTGTTGTCGCATGCTTGGCTAATCAGTGAAGGTTTGGCATGTGGTTGGCTATATACATCTCTAGACCCACCTTGTGTGCTCATCGGCATTCTGATTCCTTTCATCAACTTGGCTCTGCCTGCCTGCGCACAGTCAAGAAGGTGCCGCTCGCCTCATTCATCCTTTCATGAATGAGTGAATAATTGAGCGAGTGAATGAGTGAGTGAGTGAGTGAGTAAGTGAGTGAGTGAGTGAGTGAGTGAATGGATGAATGAAGGGATGAATGAACGAGTTACTGAATGAGTACCACCCCACACACACATACACATTCCCCAGGCGGGCCTGCGTACGGAGGAGAGGGCGCTGCCGATCAATCACGTGCTGACAGCTGTCGGCCACGTGAGGTTCGGATCTGACGGTCGTCCCGCCATCTTCGCTTCGCCCAAGCTCCCCTTCTTCCTGTATGCAATGAGGTTATTTTCAAGTTGACTCAAAATTGTTTTGTTTGTTTTTTTCCAAGATTTTCCTTAGTTCCTGTGCGGAACCCCTCCTGCCACGTTTTCTTATTTTGCCTATAACTGCATGTAGCTTTCCTTGTGGAGGCTTTAAGTGATTGTGCTCGCTCCCTTCGTGTCCATGACTATGTCTTCTTTCTCCTCCCTTCCTTCCTTCCTCCCCCCTCTTCTCTCCCGCATACCCTCTCTGTCCCTCCCTCCTTCTTTCTCCCTCTCCCCCTTGCTCCAGTCGTTCTACCTTTCCCCACCGCGCGCATGCTCCGCTTTCCCGCCCGTCCCCCAGGTTTCTGACATCAAGGCTTCTATGAAAGCTGAATGAGCATTTGGGAGCATTGCAGTTTTTCCTCACACTCCAGCCCCTACGTGTCCGTCTCCCCCCCCCCTCCCCCCCCTCTAATCCAGCTCCTCTGACAGCAAGGCGGGAATGCTTCAAAAGCTGGATCGCCAGTGGGGGGTGCTGCTGGGATGCAGCTTGCTGCTGTCTGCTGCTGCTGCGGGCATAGTTGGCTTTGCCTTATGGAGGTGCGTTAATGTGGATGGGTGGATGTGTGGATGATGGGTGGATGGATGGGTGCATGGGTGCATGGGTGAGTGGGTGAATGGGTGAATTGAATGGGCGCATGGGTGAATGGATGGGTGCATGGGTGCATGGGTGAATGGATGGGTGCATGGGTGCATGGGTGCATGGGTGAATGGATGGGTGCATGGGTGCATGGGTGCATGGGTGAATGGATGTATGTATGGCTACGTGGGTATATGGGTGGATAAATGGATGGATGGGTGGATGGGTGGATGGGTGGGTGGGTGGGTGGATGGATGGGTGGATGGGTGGATGGGTGGGTGGGTGGGTGGATGGGTGGGTGGGTGGATGGGTGGGTGGGTGGGTGGGTGGGTGGGTGGGTGGGTGGGTGGATGGGTGGGTGGGTGGGTGGGTGGATGGGTGGGTGGGTGGATGGATGGGTGGGTGGGTGGGTGGGTGGGTGGGTGGGTGGGTGGATGGGTGGGTGGGTGGGTGGGTGGGTGGATGGGTGGGTGGGTGGGTGGGTGGGTGGGTGGGTGGGTGGGTGGGTGGGTGGATGGGTGGGTGGATGGGTGGGTGGGTGGGTGGATGGCTTTCAGAATCGCCTCCCTCCTCTCCATTCCCCAACCTTAATCCCTCTCAATAACAGGCGGCGGCGGCGGCGCGACATACGGTTCTGGGAGAGAGTGGGAGCGTGGTGCGCGTCCTTGCTCGGAAGAAGACGCTAGCTAATGCTTTGAAGGCGCACTCCACTCGGGCTTACAAAAGGAGGCGTTGCTTATGGCTGTGACGTGAATGGAGGCAGCAGCGGCGGTGGTGTTGGCAGATGGAGCTGGGAGAGAGTGGGAGCATGGGGCGCGTCCTTATTGGGAGAAGGGCGCTAGCAAGTGCTGTCTGGTGTGGTAGAGACTAGATTGAAGAAGCGCGTGGAAGTCGTGTGGCACAGTGAAGGCGAAACTGGATCTGCTTTTCAGCTAAAGAATGGTGCATCCTGCGTGCTTGCTCAAAAGTGCGAACGAAGACCACTTTGAACAGTAGCGTAACAATTTGCATTGTAGCACCACACCATGTACAACCATTCTAAAAAGTCAAAACTAGGGCACTGTTCGACCTTGATGCACCACGCCCTATTACTGTTTGGCATTGGGATACGATTCATTCCCTACAAACAGTCACTACAAAAGGAGATGCTGCCGCTAATGTCTGTGACAGGTCGTAACAATTAGTGGCCAGAAAGGGATGATGTTGGCTTTGATGTGCCAAGTACAATCCTATTAGTTTTCTAGACACTATTCCATTAGTCTACACCCTCTTTTGTAGATGCTCACTAATAATCCCGTTATACTAATACCGTACCTGTGTTTCTCCAGCAAGAGTGATGCTATGCTACCGCGTACGTATTTCACTTCCTGCTCGCAACCCAGAATTCATGTCCCGTCCTGCCTCCTTGCTATCGCTCGCTGCCACATTCGCCCCACAGAACAGGTACATCGCTATTTCGTTAGGTGTGTCGCTTCCTCGCACATATGCTCCTTCTCACGACCGAGACGTCCGTCCTGGTTCTTTTCACTGGCTCGAGTCGCTCGACGCCTTCAAGGCGAACAGGTGACTCGCCCTCGCTCCCGCTATAGCGCCGCGCTTGCGACTCCGGAATCCGCGACTCAGTCGCGGCGCCGATAATGACGGGCCCATGTTCCAGGGCTGTCGACGTCTTCGCACGGCGCGGCTCGCCGCATTGCCACCGCTCGGCAATCCCAAGGCGACTGGCCGTGTTCACGTCATCACCGTCAGAGCGTCTGCTCTTTCGTCGTACCCAGAACTCCCGTCCCATCCACGGTGATTCGTCGAGTGACAGCGTCAACACCATCCGGAATTCCACTTTGGGTTTCTCTCAGATTTTCAAGTCCTTGTCGACACACGCGTCGTCTCACACGCGTCCTCTCACACACTCCTGTCTCATACGGATTCCCACAGAGGACTCAAACGGACTCAAGATGCCGTGTGGAAGAGTCGAAACACCTGGCGACTCGTCGTCGACCCTCTCCAATTCCGTGAGCGGTTTCTAAGCACTGTACCAAAGCCATCGTCACTCCTGTTTCAAGGCAATGAATCGACACTATTGATCCCTGTCCCATCGTCGTTCCGCGCCAATGCCTTCATCCGGAGGCGGGAATTCCGGCGCGCCAGGCGGTGGTGGTGCTTCCAGCGCGCCGCCTCCGGCTGATCGCGCGATTCTCGCGCAACAGGCGACGACCGTCGTTGATTCTCGCGCGACTATCGCACACACGGAGACGGTCGTCGGCGCGTTGGCTGTGGGTAACGTCGCGGTAACCGACGCGTCAGACGGTGGTGCTGCTCCTAGCACGATTCTCGCGCTGCATGAGGCAATCGTCGGCGGTTCTCGCGCGACTATCACACACAGGGAGGCGGTCGTTGGCGCGTTGGCCGTGGGTAACGCCGCGGTGACCGTTTGGAGCGCGGCGGTCGCGTGGTGGCAACTGATCGACCTGTCTCGCGCGCTCTCCGCGCTCAGATCCGCGCGCGAAACGACCGTCGCGGAACTGAGTCGCGCGAAGCCGCCAGCTGACGCCGCCAGAGGCACCAGCAGCAGCGGCGGCGGCGGCAGTGGTTCCAGCAGCAGAGGTGGCAGCAGCAGTGCCGGATTGGGTTGGCTGCTGCATGCGGGGAGCAGCAGCAGCAGCGAAGGCAGCAGTAGCAGCAGCAGCAGCAGCAGCAGCAGCAGCGGCAGCAGCGGCGGCAGCAGCAACGGCAGCAGCAGCAGCAACAGTGCCGGATTGAAGTGGCTGCTTCACGCAAGTAGCAGCAGTGGTGAAGCATTCCATGAGAACCTCTCAAGTTCAATCGTCGAGGCGCCGCACGAGTTGGTGGTGGTGAGAGGGCTCGTGCAGGCATCCAGGTCCGAGCACCATGGCTGGAGGAAACTTGGCTTCCATGTTCCAATCCTGCAACGATTCGGCCTTGGGTGGAGGCTCCCGTTGCTGCCCGACCACGGAGTGAAGCAGCCTTGTGCGATCGTGGAGAAGACCGAGACGGTGAGTGGGCAAGGCAGTGAAGGGGAGAGTTGCAGTCAAGAAAGAGAGAGAGAGGAAGCGGATTTTGAGCAACCTTTAAGATGGCCTCGCACGCAAGTCATGAGCAGCCGTGTCAGATAGTGACGCGGACGGATAGAGTGAGTGAGTGGGAGAGAGCAGAGAGAGTAGGCAACTTCCTAGGCGCATGAAAATGGCCCACCCCCCACTCTCCACGGAATGTCCATTTGCCAACCTGGTTCTCCTCTCTCCTCTCTGCTCCTCTTTCTACCTTGCCTCCCCTTCTCCCTCCTTCCCCTCTTCCCACCGTCCCCGGCCTTCTCCTCCCTCTTCTCTTCTCTATCTTTTCTTCTTTCGCGGTTTCTCATTCCTGATACCCCCCCACACTGGCCCCATCCCTCTCATGATCCGTTTTGCATCGTGGAGAGGATAGAGACGGTGAGCATGGAAGAGGGTGAGTGTGGGAGGCGCCTCATGGATGGCTTTATAAATTGTGAGCAGCCGTGTGCCATCGTGGAGAGAACAGAGACGACGCATTTTGAGGAACCTTTATGAGCAGCCGTCTCTGTCCTCTCCACGATGGCACACGGCTGCTCACAATTTATAAGGCCATCCATGAGGCGCCTTACAATCACCTCTTCTCTCTTCCACACTCACCCTCGCCCATGCTCACCGTCTCTGTCCTCTCCACGATGGCACACGGCTGCTTCCGTTTCCCCCTCACTTGCCCCATTTACCCCTCCCTTGCCGCCTCCCGTGTTTACTTTCTTGCCCCGTGCTTTCTCCTCCTTTCACCCCATGCCATTCCTCTCTCCACGCTGCCCCTTCATCCCTCCCCTTGACACAGATTCTGGATACAAAACTCCTCTACGGCTGGCTCACCGGACCGCCCATGCCATTCCTCTCTCCACGCTGCCCCTTCATCCCTCCCCTTGACACAGATTCTGGATACAAAACTCCTCTACGGCTGGCTCACCGGACCGGATCAATACGGCATCATGTTTAAAAAATCCGTGAGTTACAGATTTCCATTCAGCATGGGGAAACGGATTCTTTCCTGCTACATTCTGCAGCAGCTCTCGTCCCTGCTGACTGGTGGTGGTTGTCTTTTTTTCTTGACCCCTATACCCTACCTCCGCATCATTCCTCTCTTCCTATCCCCTCCTCTCAGCCCCCCTGTCTTCCCCCCTTTCTCCCGCTCTCCTTCCTCTCCCTCTCCTTGTCCTCTCCCCCCTCGCCGCTCCTTAGATCCCTTTCTCTCTAGCAGATACCTCACACCCATCAGCGCCACGTGTCGACATCTCATTGGTGGGCGCCACACAGCCCCTGCCTCTGCACACCGTGTATAGTCACATCCACAAGGCCCATCCCTCATGGGGAAGGGCCTGCCGGTGAGTGTACTCCAAGCTTTGCACGTGCTTATAAGGAAGCAACTTCCAGTGAGTATAATCTTCATGTCACTGGGAGTTCCTGTCCACCCAGCCTGCCCAGCCTTTGCCACCCAATCCTCATCTTGCGTAGTGCCAGTTCTTCCCTCTCCCCTCTGCTGCCCAAGTCTTACATGCTTCTGAAACGGCAAAAGCTTCTGGATGCTCTCGTGAAAGTTATGCACTGTTCTGTTCACCCTTCTGGACCAGGACTCGGTCAGCTTGAGAAAACGGCTGTTGTGTGGTTAGCTTAACCAGTGCAGGGCTCGAAAACCTGTGAATGAATGAGTATCAGCTCCACATATATGCCTTCCCCAGGTGGGCCAGTGCTGTGCACGCAAGAGGGTTTTGTGACCATCTCCTTTCTTGCATGTTCAGCTGCACACACCACTCATCACCCCCTCCACCACTCATCACCCCTCCACCACTCATCACCCCCTCCACCACTCATCACCCCTCCACCACTCATCACCCCCTCCCACCAGCGGGGCCTGCGTACTGACGAGAGGGTGCTGCCGATCAATCACGAGGTGACAGCTGTCGGCCACGTGAGATTCGGATCCGACGGTCGACCCACCATCTTGGCTTCCCCCAGACTCCCCTATTTCCTGTGAGTGCTTCCATTGACCATATGACCCTTCAAAAACCCCTGAATTCCTATAAGTAACGTGGTGACTTTTGAGCCGAGGAAATGCATTTTCGTCAAAATCTCCCGACTTTCTGTGTGTAACCCCTCCAACCGCATTCCTTCCTTCACATGCACCTGCATGTAACCATCTCTCACCTTCCCCAAGAAGGTGCATGTACATGTGCCTCTCTGTGTGTCTCACCATCTCTCACCATGCTTCTTTCCTTCCCCCAGATCCTCTGGGCTGACTTTGCTCTGAACTATAGTATAAATAGGCATGCTACGTAGCATATTTATACTATAGTGCAAAGCCTCTGCAGCATTCCCTTTGCCTCTACGTATAAATATGCTACGTAACCCGAGCAGCAACTAAAACCCTTGCCTATTTCACCTGTAGCTGCATGTAGGCTCTCTTCTGGTGGCTTCAATGCATCCTCCTTGCTTTCGTCATGCCACTGGCCATGTCTTGTTTCTCCTCGTTCTTACCATTCTCCCTTTCCCGCCCCTATCCCGTCTGCCCTCCCCCTTTCTTCGACCTCCCCACAGGTTCTCTGACACCAAGGCGGGAATGCTGCAGAGGCTGAATCGCGAGTGGGGTGTGCTGCTCGGCTGGTGCCTGCTGCTATCTGCTGCTGCTGTGGGCCTCGTTGGCTTTTCTCTGTGGTGGTGCGTGTATGTTGGTGGGGAGATGGGTGATGGGGGGATGGGTGGATGGGGAAATAGGGGGATGGGCGGCTAAGTGGATGGGTGGATAGGTGGATGGGAGAAGGGATGGTAGGAGAGCGGTTGTGTGCATTTTCCAGCGAATGGGGTTGTGAGTGCATATGGATGTATGTGTACGTTTTCTCAGGTCGGCAGGAGATGCGTTTACTACGCTAACCATGTGCTGTCACGTCTGTACGTGGACACATGGGAATATGCATGTGTTGGCTGCACTTGTTGCAATTTTGGATGCGGGCACATGCCCGCGTATGCATCCACGTGTACGTGGATGCATGTACACGTGGATGCATGTACACGTGGATGCATGTACACGTGGATGCATGTACACGTGGATGCATGTACACGTGGATGCATGTACATGTGAATGCATGTACACGTGGATGCATGTACATGTGAATGCATGTACACGTGGATGCATGTACATGTGAATGCATGTACACGTGGATGCATGTACATGTGAATGCATGTACACGTGAATGCATACGCGGTGAAGACACACACGTGTGTGCCCACTCATGCATCCATCGTGCTACACCTACCCTTATCCACCCTCACCTCACACCTGCTCTCTTCTCCTCTCCTCGCCTCTCCTCACCTCTCCGCTCCTCCCTCTCCTTTCCTCCCCTCTCATCTCCTTTCATCTCCTCTCCTCTCCTCTCATCCCCTCTCTCATACCCTCACCTGATGTCATTTTCTCCGATTACTTCTCATCCACTACCCCCATCTCCTCCCCCTGTGCCCTACCAGGGAAAATCGTCGCCAGCAATCCAGGCTGCAGCAGCAGTGGCAGGATGTGGAACAGGCAGAGTTGGAAAGCAGGATGATGAATATTCTGGAATTGCAGCAGCAGGCAGGAGCGGCTGGGGCAGTAGCAGGAGCAGGAGCAGCAGCAGTAGCAGGAGTAGGGGCAGGAGCAGCAGCAGGATCAGGAGCAGGAGCAGTAGCAGGAGCAGCAGAAGGAGCTGGAGCAGCAGCAGGAGCAAGAGCAGCAGCAGGAGAAGGAGCAGCAGCAGGAGCAGGAGAAGCAGCAGGAGCAGCGGCAGGAGCAGGAGCAGGAGCAGGAGAAGGAGCAGCAGCAGGAGGAGCAGCAGCAGCAACAGGAGCAGGAGCGGTAGGTACTGGACGACGAAGGTTGCGGGCCCAAGGAGGCATGATCCATGCCTCACATGTCAGGGCACTAGCAGCCTCAACCTTGGAGCTAGAGAGGAATCTGGAGAATTTGATTCACGGTGGGGATGCGGATGAGGAGGAGGTGGTGGAGGAGGTGCAGAGCGGTGAGCTCTGTGTGGTGTGTCTGCATCGCAAGCGCAAGGCGGTGTTCATCCCGTGTGGCCACCGCGTGTGTTGCCTGTCGTGTTCGAGAGTGGTTTGGGTGGAGCAGTCGCCGTGTCCCATTTGCCGCGGACAGGTTCTGGCTGCCTTTCGTGTGTATGATGCCTGAAGTTAGTATAAACTGTCTAGTAAATTACATGTGTTGGGGTTGGTGGAATGATGGGTGCCCAGTTTGTTTGGTGTGGCCATCAATGTGGTTTTAATTTGTGTCACAACCTTTGTTTCTTATGGTGTTAGGTCTTTCTCATTGTGATTGCGTGTACTCGTCTTCTTACAAACACGGTGGGCAAGTTCTTACGTGTCCTACATGCACTATGTCGTCGGTTGAGTCACTCACCCAAGCCATCCGTTACTCCGATCGACAGAGGAGATGATCTCAGCCGTCAGAGTCCTTCAAAGCCAGCAGATCATCCGCCTACAGTCTCCCTCGATTTCAGCCGTTAGATCACGATTCGTCCTCTTCTCTTTCCCAATTTCTTTCTCAACACTCAAGCCAACCGATTGGCTACAAGATTGTTCAGTTGCACAAAAGAGCGCCATTGTTCCAAAATGTCCTTTCCTTTCCTCATGATGACTGAGCGCGCTATCGGTAATTCCACGCTACAAATGGTGCCGCCACTCCGCCCACAGCCATGATTCTTACTCTGTGAACTGTGCGCAATCGATGGGCATCCAACAAGTTACAGCATTTCTGCGCTGCAGGAACAGAGATTATCGTTACCGAAACGATTTGACGAACCCTTGATAGCTCAAAAGCAATTTAGCGGCGATAGCGGTTTGGCGACGCGAAACTGAGCTCCGTCAGCTGTTAGCGCAACGGGAAAAAACCCTCGTTTTAGAGCGCACCGATTTCAACTAAACCGTTTTGAACCGAGGCAAACCGAATCGAAACGATGAGCGACGGCCATCTTGACGGCGACGGCCCGTGGGGAACGGTTATCCGTCAACTATTAATCCAACACGGTGAGCGGCTCGTCTGCCTCTTATTCCACGAGCCTAAAGGCCTCCTCTTTCTCCTCGCTAGCGGCGCCGCGCACTCTGCATGGAGTATAGTCGCCTTGTCGCGCTCCATCGGCGCGCTTCGATCAGCGCGAGACGCGCGAATCGCGGATGTGGTGAATCTCGGCACGAACGTAGCTATCAAGCGGCGGAAGAAACAGAAGGGTTCGCGGAAGGGGTCGCGGAATGGGGTGCGGGAGGGGGAGCGGAAAGGGGAGCGGAAAGGGGAGCGGAAGAGGGAAAGGGTGCACTTAGGTTCCGCCAGCGGTTCCGCTGATTCAGCGATTGCGCGGAGCGGGGAAGGGGAAGCAGAGGGCGGAGCAGCGGAACGAGTGGGGGAAGGAGCTCAGGCGAAGGCGGAGGGGAGTGTTAGCACTGGCACCGCACGAACAGAGCGCGCAAGGGCGGAAGGCGCAAGGGCGGAGGGGGCAAGAGCGAATGTCGCAAAAATGGAGGCCTGGAACGGCGACTTGAAGGGGATTCAAAGGGATGGGGTACGGTGGCGGCTAGACAGAGTAGCTAAAGGGTTGGAGCGACTGGAAAAGGCGGTGGCGAGACGGCGAGAGGCTGCAGCCCGTACCCATGCACCAGCACAGGTTGACTCGTCTGTAGGCGTTGACTCGGTTGACTCGTGGCGGCTGCCAGCTGTGCGCAAGAGGAGGCAGAGGCGGTGGTGGGGTGGGTACACAAAGACGAGTAGTGGGTTCCCAGTCCTAGAGTCATACGACTTAGCGGGGGAAAGGGAACTTGTGGCGGTGAGAGGGGTGGTGCAACCAGCGTGCAGTGATGGTGATGATGGTGTTGCTGCTGTCACTGGCGGCAGTGCTATTGGTGCTGGTGATGGTGGTGGTGCTACCACTGCTGGCGGCGCTGCAGTGCTGGGGGGGATGGCAGCACGTGGAGGGATGGGGTGGCAAGGGGATGGTGTGACTGCAGGCGCGGTGATTGTAGAGAGACTTGACGAGGTGAGTGACGGGCACGAGTCATGATGTAAGATATAATCGGAGGCGTTTTCTGAGAAAGTAAAAAGAAACGCCTGCAACAAACAAGGGTTGGAGCATGTTGGGGAAGTGGGGTGGAGTGGCAGCAGATTACCACACGGCATGAAGTCGAGAGGACCATGTCTGTCTTGCATGTGCCACGTGTCAGCAGTCTGAGTGCCACGTGTCCCTTCCTGCATGTGCCACGTGGCAGATGGTGTACTCGGAGCTCCACGCCCTCCTGGGATGGCGTGTCAAGTCAGAGCAAGTCAACTTGTTCCGCTCCGAGGTATGACAAATGCTGCCACCCGTATGTATGTCCTGCTGCCAATATGTGGTGCCGCCATGAGTGCTGCTGCGCAAAGTGCTGCTGCCGTCCATTGGTTACGCTTAGAAGTCGAGACACATACACATGACCCATGGCAATTTGTATTCCCATGCCCATGCGTGTACCTGTACCAATGCACATTCCAGTGCACATAGAGATGTCTACACCCACTCACACACCATCCCCCCAAACTCTCCAATTCTCCACTTCTCCCATGTCTCCCTCTCTTTCTTCCTCTCTTTCTTCCAATCACGAACTCTGTTTCTCCTCCTTCATTCCACGCCACATCTCGCAGGTTCCCTTCTGCCTGGCCGAATCTTCAGACACATCAGCTCCACGTGTCAGCATCCCATTGGCCAAGAACCCGTCCAATCAGCACCCCCCTATCCCTCTAGTCACCCTTCACTCCCACCTGCACAAGGCTCTGCCGCCCACTCTCGCCTCTGCCGCCCATTTGATCGCCGGGCGGCGCATGCCCCTTGGGATGCGGACGGAGCACCGGGTGCTGCCGGTCAATCACGCGCTGACAGCTGTCGGCCACGTCCACGTCAGTAAGGATGGCCGGGCGGCGCTCGTACCTTCTCCGCGCCTTCCGTTTTTCCTGTGAGAACCCTAATGCCCTTCCTCTCCCCTCTCCACCCCTCCATTCCCCTCTTTTCCATCATATTCCTTCCTTTCCTCCCCCCCCCCCCCCTCCCCTGCCTGCCCCTCCCCTCCTCTCCCCTCCCCTCCCCTCCCCTCCCCTCCCCTCCCCTCCCCTCCCCTCCCTCCCTCCCCTCCCTTCCCTCCCTCCCCTCCCTTCCCCTCCCCAACCCCCCATCTTCCATAACCACCCACCATCACCTCTTCCACAACCTCCCCCTCCGCCTCCCCAATCCCATCTCGCTGCCTCCCATTCTCTCCCAGCCTAAACGAGACTCGAGAGGCGGCACTGCAGCGGCTGCAGCAGCAGCGGAGGGAGCACGTGCATCGGGGAGTGATCTTTGCTCTGGCTGCCAGCGCTGTTGCAGGCTTCATGTGGTGGAGGTGAGTACTGGAGAGGGGGGTAGGTCTTATGTGGTGAGCACGGGAGTGCTCTTTGCTCTGGCTGCTGCTGCTGTAGCAGGCTTTATGTGGTGGAGGTGAGAAGGGGAAGGTGTGATGGTGATGGCGTTGAGATGGCGTGTAACGGATCACCTCCTCCCAGGAAGCGTCGCAACGAGAGGCGGGAGCGGGAGTATGAACAGCAGCACTAAGTGTCAGTGCCAGAGAGTAGAGGTCCAGTTTTGAGACATCTCAAAGAATGAACAGCAGCAGAAAGTGTGCCAGTGCCATAGAGTAGAGTTCCCTCGTTTCACTCCCCCCTCCCATGCTCCTTCTGTCTCGCACACTCTCCCCGTCTCTGTCCCCCAGGAAGTGTCGCAACGAGAGGCGGGAGCGGGAGTATGAACAGCAGCACTAAGTGTCAGTGCGAGAGAGTAGAGGTCCAGTTTTGAGACGTCTCAAAGAATGAACAGCAGCAGAAAGTGTGGCAGTGCCATAGAGTAGAGGTCGCTCGTTTCACTCCCCCTTCCCATGCTCCCTCTGTCTCGCACACTCTCCCCATCTCTGTCCCCCAGGAAGCGTCGCAACGAGAGGCGGGAGCGGGAGTATGAGCAGCAGAGAGCAGCCGCCAGAAATGAGGCCCTCGCATGGCAAGGCACTGCTGCTGCTGCTGCATGGCCAGAGGATTTCCCTGCCCTGCTCCCGGCCGCTGCCGCTGCTGCTGCACCACTGGCCCCCGCTGCTGCTGCACCACTGGGCCCCCTTAATGCACAAGCTCACGGGCAGTCACGCAGACGAATCCAGCAGTTATTGGATGCGATAAATGAGGCTGCGGATGAGATGAGGGAGAGGCAGAGAGAGGAGAGAGAGGAGGGACAGGAGGAGGAGGAGGGGTTGGATTTGGATGGGGAGCATGAGTTGCCAGCGGAGCAGGTGTGTGTGGTGTGCGCTGGGAGGGTGAGGAGGGCGGTGTTCATTCCGTGTGGGCACCGTGTGTGCTGCCTGCGGTGCGCCCGTGCTGTCAAGGAGAGCAGCTCCCTCTGCCCCATCTGCAGACAGTTCGTGCGGCGAGTGTACCAAGTCTTTGATACATGAGGGGGAGGAATGAAGATTGACTGTGGTAGGCTGTGCACTCCCCGTGTGGCCACCGCGTGTGCTGCCTGCGGTGTGCAAGGGCTGTCAAGGAGAGCAGCGCTCTCTGCCCCATCTGCAGACAGTTCGTGCGGCGAGTGTACCAGGTGTTTGACACGTGAGAGGAGGAACCTTCCAGCTGCTAAGAGATTGTAGGGAGGGTGAGGATGGAGGGTGAGGAGGGCGGTGTTCATCCCGTGTGGGCACCGCGTGTGCTGCCTGCGGTGTGCAAGGGCTGTCAAGGAGAGAAGCCCGCTCTGCCCCATCTGCCGGCGGTTTGTGGGACGGGTGTATCAGGTGTTTGACACGTGAGGGGTGGCAGACAGAGGGTGAGAGGGCTGTGTTCTTCCTGTGTGGAGCTTACCAGGTGTTTGACACGTGAAGGGGGGAACCTTGCAGCCACTGGGGGGGGGGGGGGAAAGACTGTTCATCCCGTGTGGGCACCGCGTGTGCTGCCTGCGGTGAGCAAGGGCTGTCAAGGAGAGCAGCTCCCTCTGCCCCATCTGCAGGCAGTTTGTGCGGTGAGTCTACCAGGTGTTTGACACGTGAGAGAAGATGTTTGGGGGAAGATTAAACACACATTGCGGTAAGGGTATCAGGTGGTTGACTTGTGAGAGGGAATTATCAGGTTTGTAAATTTGCTCTCATACCAGGCCAGGACCAGGACAGGACAGGCACAGTAGCCTTGGACTCGCAACTGTTGTACATTGCATGTAGATAATGTGAATTACTATCCGACGCGTGTACATTGCTCTCATGTCAGGACAATAGCCTTGGACTCACCTTACACATCATGTTTATAATGTAATGTCTTTTAGGTGTACACTGCATCATTGGCATAGCGAGCAGAAAACCAAACCGAGCCTGACAGCGCTGCTGCGCCATGTGGAAACCGCAACCGCTACTGCAATACGGTAGTGCTACACATTGTACAGTACCAGTACAATTCATGGATGTAGGGTGTTACCCTCGGGAACGCCCCCTTGCTGCGTGTCCCTTGCTTTCTGGCAGTGGGGCTGCAGCAGCACTAGCTGCTTGAGCCGATTTATTTCAGCTGCGGTGCAAAGAGGGGTAAGCAAGCATTGGAGAGGCCACACAGGCAGGCAGGGCAGGCAGTGGGAAATGATTGTAGGATTCTAAAAAAGCAATCAACTTCAGCTGCAGCGCTACGAGGGGTAAGCGTGGGAGAAGCCGCACAGATCGTGCCTTAGTAGGCGAGCGTAAGTGAGTGAGTGAGTGAGTGAGTGAGTGAGTGAGTGAGTTGTGAGTTGCAACATTGAAACACTGCTGCAAGCAGTTCAACAAGACAAGGTGATCATTGCTAAAACTTGAACGTGGCAGACTGTAACGGAATACTGGCAGCAGCAGAACCAACATCTCGCACATGTGTTCAATCTTTGACCTGGAACCCTTTCCTCTCCCCCTCACCTACCATCCCTCCCTCCCACCAACCTCCCCTCTCTCACTCACCCTCCCTCCCTCTCCCTCCCTCCCACCCGTCCAAACACTCACCCCCCCCGTCCCTTACACTCACTCTCCCTCCCTCCCACTCTTATTTCCTCCCTCACTGACCACCCTTTCAGCACTCACCTTCCATCTCTCTGCATCGCTCCGCTGCTCGCATCTCCCTCTCCTGGCTTCTCCTCAGCATGCGCCTCAGCTCCCTGCTCTCTGCCAGCAGCAGCCTATGCCAGCACCTCCACACGAGCTCACACACTCACCTTCCATTTCTCTGCATCGCTCCGCTGCTCGCATCTCCCTCTCCTGGCTTCTCCTCAGCATGCGCCTCAGCTCCCTGTTTTCCGCCAGTACTAAAGACACCACCCCTATCACCTCCTCCTCCTGTGAATCCGAATAGTCCTCCTCATCCGCCTCTTCCTCTCCTTCCTTTCCTTCCTCCTCCGTTCTGCCATTGTAGGCACACCTCTCCTCCCCTTCCTTTGGCATACCCTCATCCGGAGGTGTGCTACTGCCCTCGCATTCCCCCGCCTCTCCTATTAATCTTCTTCTTGACCCCGCCTCCTCCTCTTCCCTTCTCTCACCCGCACACGCACCCTCCTCCTCCCCATCTCTGCACCCAACAACACTCTCACTTCTGCCCACACCTCTTTCTCCCTCATGAACGTTCCCAGCCGCACCACTCCCAATACCACCCCCCTTTCCCACCCCTAGCCCCACCAGTCTTCTCACCACTCTCTCCACCGCTTCACCCTGTCTGCTCTCTCCATCCAATTCTCCGCCTACATGAAACAACCCGTTCAATCGCATGTCCCCACTGCTGGTCTCCCCAATAGCACCATCACGAACCTCTGATCTACCACTACCACCAGCACCTTTGGGCGGCAGATTTTGGACTCGTCTGGAGCTGGCCGGCCAGGGAACGGACCTGCCGAGCCAGAGCCGTGTAATGTCTGCCAGCCTGTCAATTTTGTCTTCTAGTGCACGTAACCTCTCAGTACCAGACCAGTCCATAGCTGCTCCACCATACCTTATCCCTCCCGAACCTCCTGTCCCACCTTCCCTAACCTCCTCCCCTGGCCCATTCCCCCCTTCCTCTGCAACTCTGCCAGCCAGAATATTTTGTCCTCTAGTGGCACTGCCTAAGCATGCTGACGAGTCAGTATGCTTGGGCAGCGTGAGAGGTGGTAGGGAGGAGGTGGGAGGGGAGGGGAGGATGAAAGGGAGAGGGAGGAGGAGGATTGGGGGGTGGGTAGATGATAGGGTGTCGTTGACATTCGAGGCGCTGGAATGTGGTAGCAAGGTGGGATTTGAGTTTTGAGTCGAATGAACAAGTGTGGATGGGAGGGGGAGAGAGGAGGTGTGGGTAGTGGCACTGGTGGCAGCAGTGGCGTGTGTCAAGCTGGCTAAAGCTTCTGGGAAGTTCGGGTCTTGCTGTGCGTCTGAATCGTTGTGTGCTGCTTCTACTCCTGAAGCACTGGGCGATGGCGCAGTGGGTGCTACAGGGTGTGCTTGCGGCCTTGCTGCTGCTGCTGCTGCTGCTGCTGCTGCATTTGCTTCAGTTTGACCCGACGGCACAGATGGAGGTGGCGTTGCTTCTGCTGCTGCAGTGGCTGCTGCTGTTGCTGATGGTGGCGTGGGTGCTGCTGCTGTGGTCGTCCCCCTATCCCGCCCGTTTGCTGCTGCTCCTAAGCCCTGCTGCTGTGTCATATCTTCGTTCGGCAAGGCATCAGAAAGCAAATCCGAAGCAGCACGGACATCACACCTTGTGGCACCACTGTCGCTGCCATTCACAGCAGCAGCACCACCACCACCACCACCACCACCATCAACAGCACCCTTCACAGCAGCAATATCCTTGCAAACCCCTTGCTGTGTTGCTGAATTGACAGCTGCTCCTGCTTGTACTCCTTGTACCACTTTTGTTGCTGATCCTGCTTGTGCTCCTCTTACCCCATCTGCCCCCCTTACCCCTTCCACAATTCCCTCACTCGCTGCACGACCCATACTGGTCGGCCCAGGCGGCACTCCCGAGGCAGCAGCAGCACCAGCCAATGGGGGCGTGCCAGGTGGCGTCTTGGCAGAGGACGACGCCAGCGAGGAAGCTGACCTGTGCAGGCCAGAAGCAGAGGAGAGGCCTCCTGGCCAGGCATTGCGAAAGAGCTTAGAGGGGCTGACAGGAGCAGAGAGGGTTGAGAGGGAGGAGGAGAGGGAGTCAGCAGCAGAAGCGACTGAGAGAGCATCACTCATGTCACTGTCTAGGTCTGGGTCTAGGTTCGGGTCTAGGTTCGGGTCTAAGTCTGCTTCACTGGGAGTTGAGGAGTGAGGGAGAGAGTGCGTGGATGACTTGCGGCGCCTGCTGCTAGCCGCTCCTCCTGATTGGCCCTGAGCCGTGGCATCCCCTGGTGATGCCGCTGCTGATGATGCTGCTGCTGGCTTTCGCATTCGATGAAGGGTGATGTCGAGGAATAGGAGGGTGTTTGGGGGCAGCTGCAAGAAGGGGGGCGATAGAGAGAGGGGGGGTTGGGGGGAGAAAACGGTGGGGGTGAGGGAGAGGGCATATGCGGGCAGGCAAATTCGGATGTGAGAACAAGGATGTGTGTGATTTTTTTTTTTTTTTGTTACCAGTAACCGTCAAGTAATGCGACGTCTCAAGACTCAACTCGGCATGTGGTAGGTTCTGAAATTTCCCTCAATCAACGTACATTAGGAGGCAGGGAAGGGAAGTCCCCACGGGCAGCTGCTGAAGGTGAAACAACAACAAAGCGCCTTCCCCCCTTGCGCATACCGACTATGCCTTGCTCCAGAGCTGGTGGTTTGATGGGTGGG